GTCAATTTATTTTTTACGAATTGTTTTTTAAAAAGTTTTATTTGGTACGCCTTGATGAGAAGAATGAACGCTTAAAATTTCAAGTTATTTGGATTCGTAGAAAAAAAAATTGAAATTCAAAAACAAAATGAAATCGTGACTGTCAGATCGGTCCAAATTCAATCTGGGCCATTGTGCTCATATGCATATGAGCTAGTGGGCTAATCTCAGCATTTTCTTATATATATATATATATATATCTATTTTATCAGAGGTTGAATCGATCATTAAAAGAATAATTAGGCCAAAAATTAGGATATATTTTGAGAAAATGAAACATCCATAGAAGAAACGCAAAACCTTGAATGCTGAGATATGACTATATGCTATAGGCCGATCAATATGTAATGTTGTTCGGACTTGCTTGGCAGGTGTTCCCTACTTCTTGCTTAGCTTCTTGGCAGATAGATAGATGCGAATAGATAGATTTTCGGAATGGGCCTATACCGCTACTTAGATATGATTGCCTTGCTTTTCCTCAGCATGTGTGCACGATTCCTTTGCGATCTCTCCTGCTGACGATGTTATGCTCTTTAGTGTAGACTTAGTCCACAGCTGACTCCATACCTTAGCTTCAACTCAGCATTGTGACTTCGTCCCTTAGGATTTCATAAATATTCTCGTAGAATCAAGAATGAAGTTTTCATTAAATACATGCCAGATCATGAATTAGTAACTACACCTAATCTTTTAAAACGTCCCAATTGTTTCAAACTTTCTATTTTTCGATTGGGATATTTACAGAATCCCCATAAATAGGATCAAATTGTATTACATGATTGTCCATGAGATTCCTTTTTCTTTTCTTAAGCAAGCCCCCAAGAGTCCTTAGTGGATCCATGATACGGGATCATTGTAGTCGACCCCAAATAATTGGGATAAGACTTGGAAGATGATATATATATATATATATATATATATAGGAAAGTTTGAGGTCAGGCTGCTAGTTGACAACTACAATAAACGATCAATGGTCCAGATTGAATCTGGCTTGATGGTACTTTCAAAAGGGTCTACTATTTAATGCTGCCACTTTAAAGAGCTTCATTTCTATGTTTGAGGCAGTGGTGTAGTTTGGCCTAGGATATAGACCTCCTACACCTTATAAGCTCAAGGGGCCTTTGTTGAGAAAGGAGGTGGAATTAACACATGACTACTTGAAGACCCACAAGGATGCTTGAGGCAAATGTGGGGTGACTATTATGATAGATGTGTGGACTAATAGGAGGTCTAGGAGTTTCATGAACTTATTAGTTAATTGCCCCATGGGCTGTTTTTTTTAAGTCCATTGATGCATCCAATAAGATTCATGATGCACCCTTCATATATGGTGTTATAAATCAGTGCATTGAAAAGGTGGGGGCTGTTGTGCAATTTGTCACAGATATGGCTAAGGCCAATATGGAAGCTGCTAAAATATTGGAGATGTTGAAGACACGTTTTCTGGATGCTTTGTGCAGCTCACTGTATAGATCTCATGCTTAAAAGGACTGGTGAAAAGAAGCCCATGCATGAGATACTAGAAAAAGCCAAAGCCATAAAGGTTTTCATTTATAGCCACACCCATGTTTTGGCAATGATGAGGGATTTTACAGGTGGGATTGACTTGGTGAGGTCGGGGGTCCTCAGGTTTGCCACCTCATTCTTGTCTCTAGATTCTTTGAATAAAAAGAAAGGACAAGCTTCAAACTATGTTTGTATCTGAAGCATGGAAGGGAAGCGAATGGTCTATGAAGGCCAAGGGAAAAAAGGTCTATGACATTATTATGTCAACTCGGTTTTGGAGTGGGGTTCAATTTTGCCTTGACATTTTTAGGCCACTTGTGAAAATGGTTCGCCTTGTTGATAGTGAAAGGGAATCGGCAATGGGGCATATATTCAAAGCCATGGAGGTTGCTAGAGAAGAAATGGAACTTGAAGTAAGATGAAAAAAGATATGGCCACATCTTGAAAGTTGTTGGCAAGTGGGATCTGCAGTTGGAGAGACCCCTGCACCTAGCAGGGTATTTCCTCAACCTTGATTATTTCTAGATTATTTCTATTCGGATCCTGAGATCGAGCGATAGGATTATATCATGGTAGTATTTAACAAATGCAATGTGAGGCTCTACCCTGGCACCGATGTTCAGGGCAAAGTGTCTATGGAACTTAACTTATATCAATATTCAATGGGGACACTTGGGACAGACAAGCAAAGGACAAAGATATATCCATGTAAGTTGAAGATGTATGTGTCGTTTCAATTTGACTTGACTCTACTTTTCTAAATTCTAAATTTACATAAATTTATGTACTCTACTTATTTTTATTGTTAAATGTATTATAGCCTCTTGGTGGCCAACCATGGACAAACTGCCCCCAATTGGCAAAAGATGGTGCAATGGATATTGAACTTGACTTGTACATCGTCCGGCTATGAGCGCAACTTCAGCACCTTCAAGATGGTGAATATTCTATTTACCCTCTGCCTCATCTCCTATCAATTTATGACAATAATTTTATCAAAAAAATTTTTAAAGTAAAGAATTGTAATAAGGAAATGGTATATTATGAAATAGATGCATACAAAGAAGAGAAATAGACTTGAGCAGAAGAGACTGAACAACCTTGTTTTTGTTCAGTACAATCAAAGGCAGAAGGAGCACCATCTGAAAGATTTAGATCCACCAATCGAGTGGTTGGTCGAGCCCGATGTCAGGCCTGAGCCTGCATGCGAGGGAGAGAGCCTGCATGAGGTGGCTGGTTTGGCATTGAGCTCTATAAGAGCTACTAGATCCCAAACACAGAGATAGGGGAAGGAAGTGGCCTAGGAAAATGGAAAGGGGAAGAAGAAGGCCCTGACGAAGAGAAGGACGATGATCTTGGAGGACATCATCATCAAATTCAGGTGGACTGCATGCTGGACGTCGACCTCATGTTGCAAGTGATGACGACACTCAACCTCATTATTGAATTCATCATATTTGTTGGGTGAAGACTTTCTGCAGTTTATGGCCTTTGATGGTCAGATATGACTTTTTTTTTTAATGTCTTTTGAAACTTTTGTGAATGACTGATGACTTGTGATTTGGGAGATTTAAACGACATTTCAAGTTGATTTTATCTTTCAATGTTGCTTTTGAGTTATAATTATTTCATTTACAGTCTAAAGTCGTAAATGTTTATGTTTGATCTGTACTTCGGACATTTTAACAATATAGTATATACAAAACTTACTTCTTAAATAAATAAATAAACAATTCTATATACAATAAAATGGGGGGAGGTGTGGGGGTCCAACTTTTTAAGAAAAGACAAGACTGCCTTTGGGTCTGGGCGGCCACCTTAGCACCTAGGCAGCCCAGACCCCAAACCGCCTAGGCGGCTGCCTCCACATTTTTTAACATTGTTTTATTATATATTTTATATATTATATGATTTATTTATTTTATTATAAAGAACAATTATATAATAGTTTATGGTGAGATACTTCCTATCCATACTCATATTTATGACTTCACTCTACCACATGACCGATGTAGGACTCAACCTCTATATACTTATCTCTATTCACTTTTCCATCCGTTATATAAAGATGCATTTGAAAGGGGGACAATGTAGAATAACACAGTGTATAAATTCCCCGGCCCCCAAAAAAAAAAAACAGCTCTTTCCTTTTATTAATACCAGAAAATTCTCCTTCCAAAAACCACTTGCAATGCAGAAATAAAACCTCCTACAATCTACTGATCAAACACTTAGTGCCAGTGACATGAATTTTGTTGATGGTAAAAAGGTTACTACAAGAAGAAGGATAGATAGGGGATTCTTCAATAGATATTGATTGTAACTTTAGGGATGAGCTCCATTAAACTCATCCACTTTCTTCATTCCCAAGGATAGAGAGGGGATTCTAGTTTAAAGGCATAAGGAGTTCATTCTCTATGCCGCTGCACGTGTAAATTACAAATTCATTCCTTGGTTCAAATATCGTTTGGTTGGTAATTTCCAAGCAGCTATTTAAGTGTTCTGATATTTGGATCGTTTATGTTTAAATCACAATACTTCACTATTACCCTCTATGCGCTTGGTAGAGAATTGAGGAGATGAAAGAGTTGCGTATTTTCATCAAGCTTGAGTTGTACAGCTTCAAGTTCTTGAAGTAGGGCTCTAAATCTTTGCATGTAATCTGCAATCTTTCCTCCTTCAGGCATCTTGAGATCCGGGTATTGCTTTATAGTGAGAGTCCTTGTCAAGGAAGGGCTTGCATGGTCTTTTTCGAGCTTGTCATGGATAGCTTTATCAGTTTTCATTGTTTTCATAGCCAACACATTTTTTGTGCACAAACTGCGCATAAGCATCTCTTGTAGAAAGCTCTTTATAACCTGGGATGCATTACTTTTGGGCTCCGGAGGGGGGCTATCAACGAGTCAAGACTCTCGGTCTTCAGTAACTTAGCCGTAAAACCTTTGGCTCCCATATTCTTGACTCAAATAAAAGATAAAGACGACTGAATATGGCAGAGAGGACTTGCTCTGATATCAATAAAAGGTGGCAATGTAGAATGCATAGTGTATAAAGTACAAAAAATATCTTCCTTTCGTAGTACTCGCAAATTCTACTCACAAAAGCCACTTAGATAACTTGAGGCACTGAGAATGAGCGGGGTGACCCCTATTTATAGTGTCATCTGAGGTCTAGTGTAAGCCGTCTTAGATTAGGTTTCAGCTTTGACCTAAATCCATAGTAATCCGTGGGATAAAGAGCAGATTTAATTTGATCCCTCCATTCCCTAAATCAACCATCGTGATGAAGGGATGGATTCAAGTATTATTATCCCTTAGATTCCTTGACCCATTCGCTTCTGATCATGTTAGGATTAGGATTTATCCAAAACTTGGACGAGTTTTATCTTTGATTCTTGCAAACGCCTAATCTTATCCTTCTGGAAATCTCATCTTCTTGAATTCTTATCCAAACCTTGTAGAACTGATGCAAGATAATTCCTTATCTTAGAACCTCCTAATTTTTAGAACAAAATTATCCATAAAATAGGAGTCCCGATTTTTCCAAACTCTCTCTCCCTTATCATACACTTTCCCATTAGAAGAGAGAGAGAGAGAGAGAGAGAGGATCATGACAGTGTGGTGTGGAGG